GGGGGTTTCCCAAAATAGGGGACCCGAATATAGTACCCTAAATAATAGGATCCTTAATATAAGGACCCCCAAATAAGGTACCCCTAATTTTCGGAAGCTCCTATATTTTGCTTCTAACATGCCTGGTATTGTTTCGACAACAGCATCGCAATCAGACTTCTGCGATTTAGCATCTACATGACGTGCACTCTGGTGCAACACACATCAAACCTGCTGCGGGGCATTCGTGAAGAGCGGCTCATCCGACCTTATGGAGAGTCTGCACGCCAACGCTACACCTGATGATGCCCGTCTAGGGTTTCGCTGGAATTAAACCCTAAACCCTAAACCCTAAACGAACCCTGCCATGCTCTGAAACCTGATACTAAGGCCCGGGACCCCGGCGGCGCAAGGGCCGGCGGCGCCGGAGTCGACTCGGCGGCATCCGGCAAAATCTCCCTGGCACCAGGCAGGATCGCAGGGTTCTGAAGACTGCCAGGTGAAGTCACCCAAACAGCCCTAAACCCTAAACCCTAAACCCTAAGCCCTAAGACCCAAACCCAAGTACTCGACATCCCCAAACCCTAAACCCTAAACCCTTAACTTTCAAACCCTAAGCCCTAAGACCCAAGCCCAAGTCCGACATCCCCCAAAAAAATCCGCAGAAGTCCCCAGGAGCCTCTGGGCCTACAGGGTTTAGGGTTTAGGGGACCTCTTAGTCGATCATTACTCTGCCATGGCGACTCCAGGTTTCATCGTGAAAACACATCACTTGGAAGTTCATGGGTAGTTGTAAGTGGGGTCTATGGGGTTCCTTAGGGCTCCTTTACAGGGTTCGATAGGGTTTAGGGTTTAGGTAGTTATAAGTATGGTTATAAGTCCCCTGATATGGGTTATAATTATAGTTACCCTACTTATAACCCCATTTATAACTACCCATGAATCTCCAAGCATGCTGTCTGAGTTTCACACGCAGGGGCCGGAGGCAGCGCATTGTACTGCAGCTCCCTGGCAGGATTCTTGATGGCTGCGGGAGACGGCTGAACCACACCGCTCATCTTTGAGCATAGCCTGCTACATCTCAAGAGGCACGAAGCCGTTACAAAGTGGCGAAGTCACCAATAATTGGGCATTGACTGCACGAGTATATTGAATGTGGGCGGGTCTTTTGACAGCTGATAGCTACACAGCAAGTGTCGGGATACCGCTTCCTGGACAGTGGGGGACAGCAGACTTCGGCTGATTTTATCTATATCGAGACGATGCAATATTGGTGCACACTAGTACAGATAGCCAGAAGATTTGCAAGAAATTAAGGCTAGTCAGCATCATGTTCACTGTTCATCATCTGCCTCAACATGATCAACAACATCATTACCAGGATCAGCGTCATCATGGCTATCGTCACCATACCATCACCATACCACTCCTCATCATGTGTCGTCGGAGCAGCATCGCTCAGAGTCTCTGGGTGTCCAGTTCTATGGAGTCCTTCCTTCCGGTTTAGGGTTTAGGGTTTAGGGTTTAGGGTTTAGGGTTTTGGGTTTTGGGTTTTGGGTTTAGGGTTTAGGGTTTAGGGTTACGGTTTAGGGTTTGCTGATGGGCCTGGGGGGGTTTAGGGTTTACTTCAAGGCCTCGGTTTCCAACGCAACTCTCCGTAGCAAGTCTCATCATGTGGGTAGTTCTCTAAATTACGTCCCTTTTGAGGGCCCAAATATATGGCGGGGCTTATAAGAATGAGAAAAGGACCCTAATTTCGAGAACTACCCATGTGCACTGCAAGCTTTCTTAGGCCCACACACAGACACCGCCGGCAAGGAGATTGACTTAGGCGCATCCGTCTGTGGAGTCCTGCCAGAGGGCACAGATGGCTACCATCGACGATGGGCGAGTTCAAAACTCATCCAACTTCCGTCATTCTCTATCTAAGGCCCTCGCAGAGATGTCTGCGCCGGCAGGGACGTCAGTCTGGGCAGAAGCGAGTGCGGAACCCTAACCGCGAAGAACAGCGACAGTCCGAATCTGGCAAGTCTCACCCATCATTTGTAACACATGATGCGGTATCACAGTGCTGGTATCAAGCGCAGGCCCCCATAAAACAGTACATTAACGTTCAACATTGCGGTGCTTAGTGCACTAGTTCTTCATCTTGTATATTTCCAGTTCTGTATCTCGTATGCTTCTGGGGTTTTAACTGTAGAATTTGCACAAACTGGGCACAGACATTGGTATTTCTCTAAACTAGGGTCCCTTGTAGGTCCGTTGTACAAAGCTGCCGTAGAACATTTTAAACCGTAACTAAACCCCAAACCCGCAGCAAGTGCAAAAGCCCATGTGAGATGCTTTCTGCGATATGACATGATGCTGGCTTTTATCATTTGACCAAGGTCTTGGGCCATGTTAAAACATAATGGCTTAGGGACTATAAGAGAATATCGGCACGAATTGTTCAGACCCAAACAGTAGATGCGGTTCGCCCCGTTCCTATCTGCTGCTCGGCCGGTTTTCAAAGAATTGCGTCTCCATGTTAGAAGGCACCTTCTCTAGGAATCTGTATAGCAAGAAACCCACAGCTTGGAGTAATGTAGGGGCCTTGATAATTAGAATAGGGTTTGGGGGTATATTATGCTGTAATTACAATAAGAAACTCCTAGAACCCTATTCTAATTATTAAGGCCCCTACATTATATATGAAGGTCTAAACTATCCGAACATACTACAGGCTTACGACTCGCATATCACGTTGGGTTGGAGCGTACCAAGCTTGAGGCGCAAGCTTGGTGGCTTAACAGCTGCTGGCTGATGCTGAAATCCTTCTGCATTGTCAAGCTGGCATCCCGAAACTCGAAATATTACCCTTAAGCCCTAAAGCCTGCGCCCAAAACTCGAAACTCTGTTACAAACCCTTTTAGATCGCGTATCGAAGCTTGGAGCGCCTCAGGAGTAGTGAGTCCAGCTGAATGTACCGCGGAACGACCTCGCCCGCAATCGCCTTAGGTTCTGTAGGTGTTGAAAAGGGACCATCTACTTATAAGCTCTACGAAGATATATACAGGGCCTCTATAGCAAAGTCAGGGTTTCGGGTTGAGGGTGTTGGGTTTAGGGATCAACTTAGGTTGTTTGTCTGCGTTTACCCTCCGATGTAGTCCTTGCTTTTTGTCAGCCAATTTTGTGGCTAGCACCCATGACTTCTTGAATGAAGGAAGCAGTGGCTGGCATCGGAGCCTTACAAAGTAGGATAGGTTTCACCGCATGTTTTTGTCTGAGAATATTATTAGTATGATAATAGTACTAGCCAAAATCATAATCACAACGAGCACAATAATAATGACAACAACAATAGCCACGTTGAAACCACTATAATATATTTATTATTCTTGTTATTGCTGCTATGATTAGAGAGTGCCACGGAACACGGGCCCGTGTTTTTCGATAGGAATCACATGTTTCTCACGATTTTATCGCAACTATGTACTATGTTACTAGATAGCATCACCATCAGAAATAACATCTGACTGCCCGACTTGCGTGTTTCCTAGCAAAAAATGTTCCGGAAATACAAAGGTGACGAAGCACTGGTAATTGCACACATCTCCAATCCAAATTGTGCTGAACCGGTTTCGGTTACTCAATATATTATAATAGATCTTTTTCCTCGCAAGCAGTTTTGCAGCATTCGTTTGAAAGCATGAACAGACCTCACCATGCTAATACCAA